TAGCTGGGACCACAGGTGCCCACCACCATGTCTGGCTAATTTTTTTTCTCTAACTCCCCACATTTGGTTTTTGAGGTTTTTGTTGTTTTGTTTTGTTTTCATAGAGACAGGGGTCTCATTATGTTGCCAGGGCTGCTCTTGGACTCCCGAGCTCAAGCGATCCTCCCACCTTGGCTTCCCAAAGTGCAGGGATTATAGGCATGAACCACTGTGCCCAGCTTAGATTGGCAATTTCCTTTTTTTTTTTTTTTTGGAGACGGAGTCTTGCTCTGTCGCCCAGGCTGGAGTGTAGTGACCAGATCTCAGCTCACTGCAAGCTCCGCCTCCTGGGTTCCCACCATTCTCCTGCCTCAGCCTCCCGAGTAGCTGGGACTACAGGCGCCCGCCACCTCGCCCGGCTAGTTTTTTGTATTTTTTAGTAGAGACGGGGTTTCACCGTGTTAGCCAGGATGGTCTCGATCTCCTGACCTCGTGATCTGCCCGTCTCGGCCTCCCAAAGTGCTGGGATTACAGGCTTGAGCCACCGCGCCCGGCCGGCAGTTTCTTATAGAGTTAAATATATATCTACCAAAAGACCTAGCAATAACACTTCTAGGTAGTTACCCTCTATTCACACTAAAACCTGTAAACAAGTGTTTATAGAAACATTATTCATAATCACAAAACAATGGAAACAACCCAAATGTCCTTCAGTGGGTGAATGGATAAACTGTGGTATATCCATTCAGTGGAATACTATTCAGCAATAAAAAGGTACAAACTATTGGTAAAGGCAGTAGCAAGTATGAATCTCAAAAGCATTATGCTAATTGAAAAAAGAGAGTCTCTCAAAATATTACATCCTGTAGGATTCCACTTATATGACATTCTGGAAAAGGTAAAACTATAGAGACAGAGAATAGATCAGTGGTTGCCAAGGGCTAGGTGTTGGACAGGGCCTGACTACAAAGGGGCAGCACAAGGGAATTCTTTAGGAGTGTTGGCATTGTTCTCTATCCCATTTGTGGTGGTTGTTACAAGAATCTATGCATGTGTAAAAGTCCATAGAATGACAGAAACAAAAAAGTAAATTCTAATGTATGTAAATTTTAAAAAACTTAAAAATCAACATGTCAAGTTTTGCAGCTGACATGGTAATATTCCTTTAATAAATGTGTCATGGAAAAGAAGCCTATTTAAAATGAAAACAGATATACCGAATGTTTATTATACAGAACCATTTGTGTTTCCCTGGGTGAAGCGTTCTTTCTGATTCTTCAATGCAGTCTAAAGAATTCAGAAAATACTACCTAATAAAAGAGAAACGGTATGCATAGCAATTTTTGAAATTTTATTTTACTTTAAGTTTTGGGATACATGTGCAGGTTTGTTACATAGGTAAATGTGTGCCATACTGGTTTGCTGCACCTATCAACCCATCACCTAGGTATTAAGCCCCGCATGCATTAGCTATTTATCCTGATGCTCTCCCTCCCCCTGATGCATAGCAATTTTTAAGAACATCAAGAAAGAACTCACAGTAGGAAATGTGTGTAAATCCAGAAGACCAGAAATAAATTTGCTTGTCAACATGTATCAAATACCTTGGCAGAAAAATAGTTCTCATGGGCCAATTCTTTATGCTCTGAAGCAGCAGCTGGTCTCTTTTGTTAAAATAAGTTGTTCTTGGAATACACCTAGTTGATAGGCCTCTTAGAATTTGCCCTGCATTTTTCTTATGCAAAGGACTTTATGTAAAAAGTTGGCGTGATAGAATATGAGAATGGTTGACGATGTGACGGTTGTAGTTCTTGCTGCTTAGCAAAATACAATGCATCATGTGTGTGTGCATGTGTGTGTGTGTGTGTGTGTGTGTAGAATCTCCTGTGCTTATTTGTATGTATAAATAGATAATACATTAGTATGATCTGACATTCTGTAGGTGCCAAAGCTGCTATTTATTAGTCAGAACACTTCTGTGGGACTGTGCCAGCCATTTATAACTGGTACCCATTTTGATTGATCAGTGCCAAAGGCCATATGAGTTATTAAATATGTTCAGTATAAATCCTGTAAGACTATCAACCAAAAAAATCTCCCTTTTTCTACCAGCCTACCCCCCCTATATTTTCTGTAATCTTCAACACAGAGACAAAAAGGCCTTTTAATATTGGGTTACATGAAGTTGGGTAGGGGTGGGTATTTTAATTACTTTAATCATGTATAACAATGTGAAACAGGCATATCTCACCCCAAATCTGTCTCTGACAGTCCTCCAGCCTTTCTTCCAGGGGTCTCTTTCTTTCCATTTGTGTTCCCTTCTCCTTGCAGTCACGCTGAAAGCATGCCCCCTCCTGATGTTAATCTGGGACCTGATAAACATCCTACTGTGGGATGAGATAAACTTTCTCATCCCACAGTGACCATCCCCTGGAATATTATTGCTGTGAGCTTGGGGCTACAAAAAGACACATGACAAATCTGGCAGCTCTTCTGAAAGCAGCAGTTTTTCTTCTTTTTC